GGTGTGGGTGTGGGTGTGGGTGGTGTGGGGGTGTGTGTGTGTACTTGTACGTAGTTGTGCGTATTTGTGCATATGCGAGCGTGCGTGCGTGCGTGCGTGCGTGCGTGCGTGCGTACGTGCGTGCGTGCGTGGGTGGGTGGGTGGGTGGGTGGGTGGGTGGGCGAGTGGGTTGGTGGGTGTGGGTGTGCGTGCGTGCGGGCGGGCATGCACATGTGTGGGTTTATCGGTGTGTGACGACTATATATAACAGCCTGTATTTGTCGCGGGTTGTAAGCCTGCGGCGCTGATGTTGCTGTTAAATGTTAGGACGAAAGTCAACACCACACTAGCCACACCAGCCGTGATCCGGTCATTGGAGCATATGGCGACTCCATGCAAGCAAAGTGGTGTACTTTGACAAGTTGAGAGTGTCACGAACTGGTGTGACAACTATGGTGCTGAAGGCGGAGCGCGCATCATAGCTTTTTTGAGGCCGTCTTTGGATGCACTGGGCATCGGCCTGCTGGATGCCGCATGATGCCGCTTAGAAACTTGAGTAACACCAACAGCAACATAAGAGACATAGTGGAATGGCATGCAAACGACGGATCGATCCCCTTGCGGCCCTTGCTACTGTCTCGCAGCATCGCTCACGCTCAAGGAGCTACAGGCACATGGCGCACCTTGTTTGCAACTGACTGACAGAATGTTCCATCCTACCAGGCGCCAGCGACATCAATAAGCTTTCTGAGGCGGAAACATTGCGGTAGTAGTCCGCAATCGGATCGCTTCCCTGCCCTGTGGCACCCATCCGGAAGTAGAAGAACTTAGCAGACGGAGAGAAACACCAGCAATACCGATTCAGGCCACTCGTGCGAACACGCAGAACCGAAGGACAGTTTCCTTTTGCCACGAGCAGCTGCAGTGTTGCAATCGTAATTTCGTGCTGCGGACGAGTCGCGCAAAATTCCCGAAAGTCCAGACAGCCCTTCTGTTGCATGTCCTGGGCTGGATTTCGAGGGCCCTGCAAGCCACAGTCTCGACTCACAGATGAAAGCTTGCGCTAGTTTGGAAAAGCCATAACAAGACGTGCTTCCCTGCCTTGAGTCCGAAACACAACTTCCCGGTCCCCAACTGCCGAAGATCCTCCTCCCGATCCGCACAACGCTTGAAGCAAGCTGCAGAATCCCACCACTTCACCGAGACAAACCACAATCACTCAGTAAGCGTGCTTGTTGCTTCCAAGTTTGAGTTCAATCATGCTTGACAGCATTTAGGCTACACACCAAATGCTGAGTACCATGACTCTGTACAGCTGCTACTGGTACTACGGGCACTACTACTATCATGGGCGCTTCCACAATCGCAACAGCCCCAACAGCAGCAACAACAACAACAACAGCAATAACACGAATTAGAGCAAGTAACAACAAGATTATGAAGTATGTGGAGAATTTACGGAGTTTGTCTGGACGTTATCATGGTTGGCACTTGGATGCGCTGCGGAAACGAACGGAGTTTGTCTGGACGTTATCATGGTCGGCACATGGATGCTCTGTGGTAACGGACGAAGTTTGTGGGTACGTTAACATGGTTGGCACATGGATGCTTTGGGGGAGCGGATGGAGTTTGTGGGCACGTTATCATGGTCGACACATTGATGCTCTGTGGGAACGGACGGAGTTTCTCTGGACGCTATCATGGTTGGCACATGGATGCTCTGTGGGACCGGACGGAGTTTGTGGGGACGTTATCTTAGTTGGCACATGGATGATTTGTCTGGACTTTATCATGGTTGACACATGGATGCTTTGTGGGAACGGACGGAGTTTGTGGCACGTTATCATGGTTGGCACATGGATGCTCTGTGGGAACGGACGGAGTTTTTCTGGACGTTATCAGGGTTGCCACATGGATGCGCTGGGGGAAACGGACGGAGTTTGTGGGGACGTTAACATGGTTGGCACATGGATGCTCTGTGCTAACGGACAGAGTTTGTCTGGACGTTATCATGGTTGGCACTTGGATGCGCTGCGGAAACGGACGGAGTTTGTCTGGACGTTATCATGGTCGGCACATGGGTGCTCTGTGGTAGCGGACGGAGTTTGTGGGGACGGTAACATGGTTGGCACATGGGTGCTCTGTGGTAACGGACGGAGTTTGTGGGGATGCTATCATGGTTGGCACATGGCTTCTCTGCTGTGACGGCAGGGGACTATTACCCCCGCCCCTCCAAGTCCGACTTTGTCGGCAGGGCCAGGGTTTTCATGGCCTAACAAGGCGAAAAGCGTGGGATCCGTTACACAGGCGTTACCAACAACAAGAAGAAGCAGAAGGTAACAAGAAGCAGAAGAAGAAAAGCAATCACTACTTACAGCATGTGGACACACTGTTGGCAGCAAGTAGCACGACTATTGGCAGGGCCCGCCCTGCCTGTCGCTGTTGCTGTCTCTGTTTGTTTTAATCTTGCTTTGTCTTGTGTTGTTGCTGCTGGTGTCGCTGTTGTTCTTGTGGTTGTTGTCGGTGGTGGTGATGGTGGTGATGGTGGTGGTGGTGGCGGTGGTGGCGGCGGTGGCGGTGGCGGTGGCGGTGGTGGTGGTGGTGCTGCTGTTGTTGTTGCTGTTGTCGCTAGTGAAGTTAGTCGTCGTCGTGGTATGGGTAGCGGCAGCTGCTCTGAAGTGTTGTGTTTCACTTAACAGGTTCGAGGAGGCCGCCGTAGTTGAGCCTCCAGCTCCTATGACTCTGACTGCTCATTCACAGTTGGTGTGGCCACTTGCAAGTGAGAGTCGGCTGAGCGCCACATCGTCATCAAGCGGTCATGAGGCAATTCTTGCCCATGAGGTATCTGCGGCCATTTGCTTCGAATTCAGATAACATGCGGCTGCTTCAACCAAGAGAGAGAGAGAGAGAGAGAGAGAGAGAGAGAGAGAGAAGCACCGACTTGATGAGTGGTTTGCACAGCTTCTCCAAGCTTAGATGACATCCACAACTGCTACTAGTTCGACATGGGCGAGCAAACGGCACGTTGGCGAAGGCTCTTGCACGTCCAATGCAGCTATTTTGCTTGTACTGTACGTAACCTCGGCAAACATGCTTCGCTTAACGCATGCTTTGAAGAATGGAAGACCACTCATGGCCTAGGCTTTGTCATGTCTTTTTCGCCGTTGCAACGATTTATGTAAAGTGACTGTTCCATTCGAGTGCGTCGCTGTGCCGACACCTTCCATTTCCTTCCATGATAGGGTACCGTTGGCCCTCACTGCCTTCACCCAACATCTCGGACACGGCCTTGAGCAATTCTTGTACCATGTTGGAGAACTCCTCGAACTCAATCTCACCGCTTCCATCCTCGTCGTACCTTTGAGGTCGAGAGTGCGCTCTGTGGCCTGCCTGGCCTGCTCTGAGATCTTTAGAGTTCGAATAGTGCCAAGGTGAAGGGTCAGCATGGGTCAGCTGGTGGCTGTCGCATCAAGAGGGAGGCACGTTACTTGCAATGTCATTGTCATTGTGCAGGCTGAACCGTGGCAGCATGTGATGCCCGGCCAACATTCTCTTTACAAGCTGTGTTAAGCCTCAACCTGCACCTTTCCCGCTCCTTGCTGCCGCCATTAACCCAATGCATCTTTGCCTTTGGAGAAAGCATTCGATTTCGAGTCTCAAAGCAACGAACGGACGAACGGCCGAACGGACTGCATTCCCTGCGCCCTGCTGGCTTCCGGGGCCGGTGCCTGTCGAAGGCCACCCTGAGCTCAGCTGAGCCAAGGAAAGAGAGCTACGAGAGCCAGCAAAGCCAGAGGAGAAGAGAAGACGGAGTCTCGGACTCGGATCACCTGGAGCCTTTCTATGGTGCCCTGCGATGCTCCGCTTTTTGCTTCCAAGAAGCTTGAACTGCTCTATCTGACCTCAGTGAAACACCAAAGCATGCTGCTATAATCGATCTTCGGTGCATAGTGCAAACATGTGCAAACACTCACTCCCCAAGTTCCTGCCAAGCCACCGATCTCCAAGCCCATCTGTCGTGCCAGCTCGCGAGTCTCCCGCACCTCTGGCTTGACTGTGACCTGAGGGATCCACCCGCTACTAGATTTGCACAGGCACCCTCTAGCTAGTCTAAACACTGGGAAGAGCGGGAAATCGCTGCGCATCAACCTTGGCCTGAGGACACAACCTCTTCTGCAAAGCAGAAGGAAGAGTACCAGATCGCGAACTCTTGGACGTCCATGGTGCTACCTTGGCCGGAGCGAATTTCGGGATTTGAACCTGAGGCCTGCAGCCGCCGATGCTGGGTACAGCAGCATACTTAGCACACTTAGCAGAATCGCACTTCACAGAGAAAGGCTGAATTGATAGACCGCAACCTCCTGCATGACGATACTTGACCAAACTTAAGGCCTCAAGCTACAAGATTGCAGTGTGTAACTATAGCTTCGAAGTCGCTAGAATCTCTGTCTGCCGCTTTCAAGGCCCAGTCCACAAACTCCTCTGGCGCGAGCTTGCAGCAACTTCTCACTCTCCCTTCGAGATCATCCGACTGATGCTAATAACCAACACAATATAATCGCAAGCTCTGCAAGGCAGCAAAGGGTACGACAAGCCTTTGAAATCTCGGAGATCTCTGTCACGTCACCTCACACTGCCGGAAGCACCCAGAGTCACGAGTCAAGAGCTGAGAGACACGGACAAGTGCAAAGGTTAAGTGTTCATTCAACCCGGCTCCGTCTGAGTCGAAACACCCTGATGCAAAGCTTGCTTGCACGTCTCAAAACTTTGCCTTCGAGCACTTCCTTTGAGAGGCCCTCACACACACGCACACACATGGCGGCAAGTCAGCAATGAATTTCTGACAAACTGACACCAGGACCGAACTTCGCAAGCAATAGCTTCAGAAGGCCAAACCGTGCCAGGTTGCAGAGAGCCACCAAGACCTGCAATGCTTCCAGAGAGTTGGCGACAAGTGTCCAGCACTTTCCCGACTCTCAAGTATTCTACGCAGTGTCATCTGTATGGGTTTGGAATTTGCGAGAGGCAGCTGCGACAGTAAGACATATCAATCGGTCGGTGATCTCTGGACTGAGCGTGGGGCATCTGGAAGCCGTGACATTTGCAGTTTGCCTTGAAAGAGGCTGCCTCGGCTCTGTTAAAGCCGGTTCAATGTCAGTGTTTGGTGTTGGCCTGGCAGCCTGACATGAAAGCACTCCGAAAAGTCAGTGGCGAAGCAACAACAGCCAAGAGTCCCTTGGAGGGGATGTTGCCAAACCGGCGGAACAAACTTGCCGCCTGCATGCCAGGGCTGGGCCAAAAGGCCGGGTTTGCGAAGAAGAAACAGAAGCTGAAGCTACTTGGGTCGTTGTCCGAAGCAGAAGCACTTTCGAGCATGTCATGTCTGTGCTCAGGAAGCTACCATAGCCGCCATAGCCCCGCCTCCTTGGCAACCTGTACGGGCAAGCCAACGGCTCGAGCCAGCCTGAGCTAAGTCAGCGAGCAACCGCGAGTTGCACGTGCAGGCGAAAACCCACGCACCCACTCGCCTGTCTCATCCAAACCGACCCTACCTACCGCTACCTACCCGATCCTACCTGCCTACCCAACCATTTCTGACCAGCCCACCCACTTTCTGGCGAAGGGCTCAGGAGCTCCAGGACCCGCATTCAACACGCGGCTGACAGCATCATCGCCGGAGTACTTAGCCTTTGGACATGAATGCATCTCTCCAGAGACACAGGCCCTCGCGACAAGCTCCTGAGGCGAAAGCTCCTTTTTGGCTGTCCTTGCCTCGGCTGCTGCCGCACTGCGCTGCAAACCAAACACAGGCGGGAGCCGCGATTTTGGTAAAAACTGAATAATAACCAGCCCCTCCCAATGCGAAATGCCTCCTCAGACTGAGGCAGCTCATGCATCCGTGACAGTCTGCGTTTGCTGCTCAGTTCTGCCGGCAGGGTCAAATCAGAAGGGCACCCACAAGCAATTGGATGATCGGCAACTACGTAACAGATGTAACAGTCGACTATTCACAAATCTTGAGACGTGATGACCGACATCCCGGCTTTTGTTGCAGTCCCTGCTTTCAGCTGGGAAGAGCACTGGTGTTACGCCGAGCCTTTGCAGAGATGCAACTAACACATGTTGGCGTTTTGGATCGGGATCAGCCGCGACATTCGGGACAATCTATGGGCTTGAGGCCTTCGAAACTGGGCTGCTTCGGACATGGTGAGATGACCCATCTTCTATCAGAGGCCCTTGCTGCCCGTGCAACAAAAAGCATGTAAACTCGCAGCGTGCCTGCTGTGCACGGCGTTCCTGGCCAGCAAAGCGAGATTGCCCAGCAGCTAAAGCAACTACATTTGCAAAGCGTTTACAATTTGTTCTGTGGTCTCCGGACCGGACCAGCAATGTCTGAAGATTATCTCGTTATGCTGCATTCATAGGATTCTGAAGTGCGTTGCTGGGCACCAACACACTGAGGTGAGGATGCACAGTGACTGAGAGCAGGGTGCCTTTGGCATTGGAGGGAACAGCGTCTCTATAGAATTCTTACAAGACTATGATGCGCGATCCTATGATGTTGTGGCACAACTCATTCAGCCCAGGTAGTTGTGCCTCGGCTGGAGTCGCTATATTCCAGAAGGCACAGGCCGCTTCCAGCGACACGTCCTGCATTTAGCACAACGGGTCCGTCGAGCACGAGGCTCACAACGAGAAGAGCGTGTCCAATCTAAAGTCAAGCTCCCCAAGCGTCATACTGTCATAGTTCGCCCGTTCATCACCACTCACTGCAGCAATACGTGGAGTTGTCTATGCAATTCGATCACGAGGTGGGCATCTATCGCATGGCTCTGCATCTGCGGACGCTTCGGTACCAGCAGGCTCCTGAGGCCCAGAGTGCTTCTTGGGCCTCGTGTTCGCAGAACCTCGGAACAGAACAGCAGCAAATCCTTTAGCTGCAGTCGCACGCAATCGACAAGACGGCATGCAGCCTTCATCATACCCGTCTAAGCAAACCAGCAAGCCTTTAAGTTTCCAGCTCTTGGGCAGTTCCTTCACCTGGCATACGGAGACCACAAGCAGCGCTTGGCGTCTGGACTGGATGGGAGCAGGTGCCTTCTGCTTCTCTGTGTCGCTGATGCAGCCTTGCGAAGTTGATTGTCTCTCCCACGGGAACCAACTCAAGCTAGCAGCAACCAGCGGCCATTGCAATCAACAAGTGCCGCGGTGGACCCCGAAGCAGCCTTTGATCTCTGGCAGACGACCGGCACCGATGGTCCGCGGCCTGTCTGCAGAACGAACCTACACATGACTCGCAACCGCGAGAAATCCAAGTGTCGCATTATGTCGCATTGACCGTGTTCGACTATCGTCGGGAGAGGTGGCCAGTGGGCATGTCACGGCAGCTCAACATGCGGAATCTTGAATCGAGCCACCATCCATGGCGGGGTCCGGGAGGGCGTCGGCCACCTTGGCAGTCAATATGTCAGCTGAAGGATGTATAGATAAAGGCTTCGCATCACATCATGCAGACGCCCGGCGGTCTTGTGCCATGAGGAACATGTAAGCCGAACCTGATCTTGCACTATTGGCTTGCAAGAGCTCAAACTTGGAGGGTTGTAAAAACATTATGTTCGCCTTGCTCGCAGCTACGAGGTTCGATCGGCAGCAAAGACCCTTGGAGCCACAGTGCTTCACATGCAGCAACTGTTCTTGCTGGCACAGCCTGTTCCGTCAGCAAAGTGTGACTGGTGGCCATAAAAAAACCGTGGCAGCTGCTCTGGTCCACAATGCTCCCCACAAAAGCAACAAACCCCAGTCACTTTGCCCGTTGCCAGCAACAGACTCGTGCAGCTGCGACAAGCCGTCACATCGATGGGCCCTTCCAAACTCACGGGGCCAGGTCTGTTGTTACAACAAGCCAGGGGCTGTCAAGCTTGACGAAATTTATTTTCCACCCGCAACTGCGGGGAATCTTCTGTCAAACTCTGTAGCCAGGGAAACCTGGCCACAGTGCCAATGCGAAAACAATTCCAGCCATCACTGCAGTCAAACCTCAGATATATCGAGAACGTCTGCCAGTCTTTGCCGAGAAGGGGGGATGGATGCAAGGCCCTTGTGTCGACCTGGATCCTCTGTGCAGAACTTTCACAACAGTGCAGCAACATGGAATCGGTTGCTTGGAAGGGGCTCGCTGCAATGAGAGTCAGCAGCCAAGCACCTGCCACGAACCAGTTGAGCCTTGGATCATCGGATGAGTTCTCGACTTAAAATCAAATGGCCAAGCCAAGCCCAGTTGCACATGAAAGCTGAAGCTTTGGCTAATGCCATGGCAATCTTAACGCCACACCTGGATGTGCTCAGTGTTCCACTGACTACAAGAGCATCTGTCCCCGCTTCAGCGGGACCGAGGTGGTGGGGGTGCAAAGCACAAGCCATGGTTGAGATCGAGATGTGAGCAAAGACGGAGCACATTGCTTCCCTCGGCGCAGTCACCCAAACCAACTCCGAGCACAAGCTCTCTTGAGGGGTGGCGTCTTCTCGCCGCTCTGCAAGAGCTGATGTGATCCTTCCGCTCAGTATCTTCTGCCTGGGAGCCCCATGCGTGATTTCAGCCTCCGGAAGCTGCGGCTGAATCTTGGGGCCAGCGCCACAGCGGCTCCCAGCTGCCTAACGAGTTCAACTGGGGATAGCTGGGGGACCAGAAAGCCTGCGCTGAGGCGAGATGTGACGGAACGAGCATTACTTTCAGACACGTGGCAAGGGATAGCACAATGTGCCATAGCTTAGATAGATGGCCGTGAAGTAGCCGAACCTGAGATCAGATGCCATGGCTAACACGCTGGATCAAATCACTTAGTCTACTTAGTGCCGTTCATACACGTACTGTAGTTGGGTAGATCGCAACTTCCCATCAGCAAGATGCAACAAGGATACCGAAGCCCAAAGTCGGTGGGAGAGCCCCTGCTACGCCGCTGCCATGCGCACGTTCGCCACAGGTGCGCATGAGTTGAAGTTTGCACCGAAAGTTGAAGTCGCGCGGTTGATCACACAGCGTCTGAGCAGTTCCCATCAACTCCATCAAGCCGCAGCTTCGTGTCCACATGGAAGGGGCACAGAACGAGTGGTCTGCACCTTCGAGTCCAGACCTTGGTGCTCACGAGCAAAACCCAGCTCAATCGCTGTATGCTGAAGTCTCTTCCGAGCGGCATATGAGGTTCCGCCAAGGGCGAGACAAATGCAGGCATTGAGTCCAAAGCATAGCGGATAACCTCGTTGCGGCAACATCTCGAGACAGTTCTGACTCTGAATAAACAGGCCAGCAGGCGGCGGGAGAGGACTCTATTCCCATTCAACCCGAAAGTGTGGGTCAGGACCTTAGGGACTTCGAGCGTTTTGAAGGCAAATGGCGGGAGCACTACTTCCACCCAAAGCACCAAGGCCAGCACATAATTGCGAAAGGACTGTGACCAGGATGCGATAGAGGCGAGAATGTCCGTGCCACGGCGGGATCTGCTGGACGGGCCATTTGAGCCCTCCGAAGTCTTACCACCTATTCTGGGGAAGAAGCACAATAAGCGGCAAGGGCCTGCAGGCAGGTCTGACCGCACTGGCTGCAGGCAAGGTGCTGAAGACAATGCCTTGGCCGTTTTTCCTGGAATCACATGGAGCCGATCGTCACGTGGGACACACTTTCTAAAAGTCCACAATAGTCACGTGGGACACACTTTCTAAAAGTCCACAATCACCAATCCTGTGGCACTCGCAGTCCCTCGCCGCCGTCCATGAGGTTGCCATGCTTGCAGCCATGCAGCTTGATTAGTTGCCGAGCGCTCTGCTGCAAGCGGCTGCCAGCCTGCCAAATGCCACCGCATCGCAAAGAGATTTGTTCTATGCTTCCTCATTGGCAGAGGGTTCTTCATGGTTCCTCCCTCTCTGGCCTCAAGGATGGAGAGTTTGGACGCGGCCACGCAAACGGCAGGCCTGGCCCAGATCGCAGGAGGTTTCTGGAGCTTAGATTTGCAGGCTAAGGTTTGCTTCAGTTTGCTAAGCTTGCCGAGACCTTTTGCAGAGACAGGCGGGAGTCCAAGGCTTAATCAAACCTCACAGATCCCACCAGGGATCCTTGCGAACGAGCATGAACGAGTCCCTACAGAGAACACTCTTGCCGCGCACTGCAAATCAAATCTTGGGTGTTTCCACGTATCTTTTTGCAGTGAATATAGCTGCAAAGCAAACAAAGCAAGACCACGAGAAAAACACAGAAACTTCACGAAAGAGGCACAAAACAACCACAAATCACCACAAACACGAACAGATGAGACAACGCAAAAAGATAATGTCACAGGATTTAAACCTTCACAATTCACAAACTCCAATACCAAGGAAGCCACAGAATTATCCAATTCTTCTTCGGGGACTGCTAGCAGTCTCGCGGCCTCAACTCCCATCTAAGCTCTACACAGCCGAACAACCGAGTCAACCTTGTCCTGCCGATCATCTAATCGGTTTATGTCAACATGGAGCCCTGCACTTGAACATATGCAACGCCGACCGTCTCCCTGATAGCATCACGCTGTGTGCAAATGAGCCTCGACTCTTGACGCCGCCATCGGCGCCACAGCATATGGCTCAGCAAGTAACCACCTGAGCATCTGACCAAGAACCTGCCAGGCCTAGAGCCCAGAATTTAGTAAAAAATGTGTATCACTGACCTAAGTTTGACCACTGTTTGACCATGTCGGGGGCAGAGCTGTGGGGACTAGGCCGGCGCCACCAAGCAGGCGCCCTACATGCTCTTCATTTTGTCGCCGAGAGTGCGCCGGTGTGTCAACAAGATGTCGCCTGAAGCGTTAAAAGTCTTCAGCATGATATCCACACCGTGTATCTTGCTTTGAGTGAACATGAAGTACCATCACACTCTGAGCCGCGGAAAACTGCTCTGTGTCAGGCAAGCCGCTCAAAAGCTGAAATCCATGCCTGGGCCTCGCAGACCTTAGCTTGTGCGCGCAGTTGTTGGTACGACTTAGCTGACTAGCTTGTGACAGCATTCGGATGAAACCGAATGGGAAGCACTGCATGGCCGCTATCCTCACTGGCTCCACGCACATGCAGTCTTGCATTTCGTGCTGTAACAGTGCCAAAAAGCTCAGAAACCGCCACTGCCTTCCGACGTTCAAAGACGGGGCCAACCTAAGTCACAGTCGGCGCATGTCAACATGAAGGATGCGGCGCTTCCTCCGACAATCTGCAATGCGCAGCTTCATATCTGCGTGCAGCAGGATATTCAGCAAGGTCGTGGCATGCGACACAGCAAGTGCAGCGGCAACTGTGCCCTGAGGCTGAGGGCACTTAAAATCGCTGGCCGTAACAGCAGCGGAGGCGCTGCCACGGAAGCCATGATGCAAGCCCGAAAAAGGGTTGGTATATGGTCACAGTTGGCCGATGCTTTGCGGAAGCTTGCAGGTGCAACTGGGCTGTTCAAAGACTTGCTGGCCATGCCTCAACCACTAGTCCGGCACACTGCCATGTGCTGTAAAAGCATGTGAGCCATATATACAGGTGCCGTTGCCTTAGCCACAGTTCTACGGCAAAGATCTGCAGAATTAAACCAAACGGTTCCCACGGCTTGCTAAAGTGCAGATCATACATAGACGTATGACGGTTGGATCTGACAATGCCAAGCCAAGGACGACTTTCTAGCACGCGGCTGGTCTGCTGCCGGAGAGATCTTGCCCGCCCCAGCCTTCCATCAAAGCAAGAGGCATCGGAGTCGGTTGAGGCATGTCCCTGGAGGTTCTCCGGGGGCGGTTGCCCGTAGGGCCGCATGTAATTACCAAGTTCAAGTACAATGCATTTCGTGTCTACTTACAAGCATGACAAAGTACTCCCTGAAAAACATGGTAGATGTTGCGTGTTTCCTGCCTGCCCGTCTTATTTTTACAAGCATCCGGTCAAGCCAAGCCCCCAACTATCAGCATTGCCTGCGTTTCTCTCTGTGCGTACTATAAAGTGCAAATACACAGCGTGGAAGCACATTCATCACGGCACGCCGGTTTTCTACCCCTCTTCCGATACCATTGCACGATGTCAAGAATCATCAAGCTGAGGTTAGCATACTTCTGTGTCTTCTCGGCTCAAGACCATTCACCTCTAGATGGCTGCACACGGGCTTCCGTGCTGTAAGTTCGTGCGAAACAACTTAACCCCACATACAGACGATGGACTCGCAGAACTCTCGTAACTTTGCCTCGCACACTTACAGCGATGACAGTCTTCAGTGCTCGGTGTGTTAGTATGGTGTTAATGTTGTTGAACCAGGCAAAAAGTCATCATTATGGTGATGATGATGATGCTGACAATGGTGTCGATGTCGATAATGATCATTTTGACGGTGCGGAATCCAGAAAACTAGCCACAACATCCCAGAAAAGGAATCCTGTCTTGAGCATCTAGTTAAATGGGGATCGTAGAGCTCAGGCTCAAAAACCAACCCACCCTCGAGTTCTAACTGCAACCAGCCTCGAGCTGGACAAGCTTGCTTTCGACCGCAGCGAGCCACAGGACTGCGTGAAAAGCGACCGCCTCCGGGAGAACAGAGATCTGCGCATTGCCCCCATGTTAAGTGAGGTTGGTCGTACCCAGAGCCCCTTTCAAGTGAAGTTGGGCCAAGACGATAACCGGACCGTCGATTCAACGCTACGTCACAATAACCACCCCAATTCAACAAATTGACTGCGCCGACCGTGCGAGGCGTTGCCTTGAGGCACTGCTCTTCTCCCTGGACTGACGCTCGAAGTCGGATGCTTGCCTTGTGTATACATGGAGCATCCACGCAGCGTGTCAAGACTTGCAAGGACTTGCGAGGTTGTTGCCAGAACACCAGAACTCGAGAGAAACTTGACTTGTCAAAGCCCGTACCGCAGCGCTGCATCCCAAGCGTGAAATTGGGAGCTCGGGCATCCAACATGCTGACGACCGCTAATGCATCCCCGAGATGCTTGAGCATGTTCACCAGGCGTGATGGAATGGGTTCGTCCTCAAGCGAACTTCGCGAGAAGAACTTACGCTCAGCTTGGCCCTGACCTACCTAATTAAAAACTGGAATCAGCTTTTGCAGCACCCTGCGGCAGCATCAATGCTGCATTGCTGGATGGCCGAGCCGAGCCGCAACGATGATGGACTTCGGGCGCAAAACGTCGCTGCCTTGATCAGGTGGCATCCATAAAAGAATGAGCCCTTTCTGACTCTTGTTGGGTTGGAGGCCGAAACCTAACAGAGTCGTTTCTAGCGGGTTTGGAGAGCCTCTTTCGACTGGGGCTTCCGCCTCTGTTCAAAGTGAGGGTCAGTCAGTGCCAGTCAGTGCCAGACTGAAATACGATCAGACCAGGCGCCGGAAATGGAGAACGAAGAATTGCAGGTGTTCGACCTGGCATTCCGCTTTCAGCTGCTGTTCCGATTCTGTCTCACACGATACCCGCACGATGCCGCAGTATTTGCCGGCTCAGGCGGCTCAGGAATTCGGAATCAATGCAATGGGCCATGGGCGAATTCGATCCTTCTGTCTGCCTGGACAGACCATGCGGCCGCGAAGCTCCAGGTGTTGTGAAAGGTCGTCGCCTTACAGCGAGTTGGCTGAATACCACATGCCTGTAAAGACGGATCCTTCGACCGTCCTTTCTGCCAGTTACTGCTTCAGAACCCAGTCCCAACCTTCTTGAATTTCCTGGAAGTCCAAGCGAACAGCAGGCAAAAAGGATCGAAGTTCGATTGCTTGGATCAGGACGACTCCGTACTTCTCCAGGAATCTTCAAGCAAGCCTTTCATGTAGACATGAACTTATCAGCATCGCTACCGGCTTGGCCAGAAAGGTTCGAGGTGGGTGCCGTGGGATCTTCACCCCACCTCCGTCCGTCCGTCTGTGAGTGTGTGCGAGCGTGTTTGTGTGTGTTCTTTCTGTTTGTGTGTGTGTGTGCGCGCGTGCGAGTGTGGATGCGGGTGGCTGCGGGTGGGTGTGGGTGTGTGCGTGCGCACGTGTGCAGATTACAATGTACGCAAACTCATGCACCCACCCACGCTGGCACAACCTGTCGCGACAACATGCGGAATCTGAACGCTATAGATTGAAAATGCGTCCGTGATGTTGTGCCTGAGAGCTCCTCAGAAGGCATCGAAGCAACCGCTGCGCTGGCAGGGTCGACGCTCCTGGGCCTCATTATGCGAAACTTTGGGCGCACAGCACCGGGTTTCTTAGAACCCGGCATGGATATGTTTCAGATAGGCTTAGCTTTACAAGTGCTCGCATCACCAAAAGCTCTTCCGCACAACGACGACCACCGAGCCCGGCAGCAGCTGCTACAGAGGCAGCGTCATCATGAGCATAGAATCAGCAGCAGAATCTTCCCCGTGCGTTTCGAGACCATCAACACGAACACCACATCAGACGCAACACAGAAGTGCAGCGCGAGACGTTTGCAATGCTTGCCACTGGTGTTGCAATTTACCACATCAGTCAACAAAATTCGGAACACCACAGCATGAGCCCACCGCCGCGGAAACTCCTGCAGCAAGCTGGCTGTAATCAGAGGGAGAATCACTTACCCGCCATGCCATGTCCAGGTATGCAACCGCCTGAGAGCCAAGAGCTCAGCAAAGTGGTACACACTGGCAGACGGACTACTCTTTGTGCGGTCTAGCAGGTGCCTCGCTCTCCTCTCGGAGGGTCTGCCGGAACTTCAAGACGCTTATCGCATCCTGCTCAAAACGAACAGCAAATCCTCACACATGCCGGCGCAGCCCGCACCGGCTGCTCCGGAGCAGCACATTTCAATGAGAGAGATGTCATTCATCAACAATCGATTTCGAGATATTTCGAGCCCCATGAAGCTCTCCTCCAGCTTCAATTCGCTGTGCAACGGAAGCCTTGGGCTCAGCTGGCGCAGCTTGAGATGTTACGCGGACACTACAGAGCGGCAAAGTGCTGAGATCATGGCAGGCTTCCCTCTATGCCTTCCATATTCCGCGAAGAATGCCTGACGGATGCAACGGTGAATCAGCTTCTGCGCTCGCTGGGTGGCTACCCGTGGGCGTGACATCTAGACTCTATAGACTGACTGATTTAGAAGGATCACTAACCGCAAGCTTTGAGCTTCAGCATCGGAAAACTGCACAATGACTCCAGCCTGCTGTTGCCGCCCAAGTCGTAGTGCAAGGGGGCGCGTGGACGAGAGTCAAAGGCTCATCGAAACATTTCAGCGGATCTCCTCTTTCTGTGGGGAATGCCATTAGGCTGGTGTGCCCTGAGGCTGCGTGAAACTCCGCCTCTTCAACAGTTAGAGTCATGTTGTCTCCATGCAGGCACAGCTGAGAGGATATCTTTTGCGAGGATGGCTTACAGCAATGGGCAAGCCGCTTGAGGGACCCTCAGCACATCCTGTCATGCTCTCGTGCCCTACCCCTAGAGCACAGATGGCAACGGGCGGTTTCGCGCGTGCACAACACAGTAGCATACGATGATGCCACATCAAGCCCCTGCAGTTGTTTCTTTTCTCGCGATGCACATCCCGGGTCTACAAGCATCTCAACCTTGCAGCCAATATAGTAAAGTTGTACACAAACGCTTCCATTGTCTGTTTTGTCATGCTGTGTACCGGATACTGTAGCTAGATGTAACTAGTCGCTTTGTGCAGCCTCTTCCCCTGCTGTGGTGTAGAGCATGCTCTTCGTCACCTCTTTTCTCTTCTGTGGTGTTGTCCTGTGGTTCTCGAACTTCCGGGCTTCGCGTTTACACGCATGAGTGCACGGCCTGCTGTTCTGTCCTTCCGGTCGCTCGTTCCCCAGTCGCTCGAAAGATTAGCCTGTGAAGACAGGCTTTTTGCTTTTAGGAACTTGTCGGGATGTACCAGGTACGAGACGTGCTAGAGGAAAGCTGTCTTACTGCCTATGCTACCGACGCCATGCCATGTTATCCTTGAACCATCTTAAACCGTCGGCGAGACCCAGAGCTCCCAGATGCTGTCGAGGGCCCCTGCGACCTGTCTCATAATCTCTCAGGAAGAGTCTGGACGTCATAAATTCATTCGGCCATCTACTGTCATCTGATACAGCTCGATCAGAATCCAGTAACTTTCCCTGTGGGGATCTCTGAGGCCCCAGCGCCACCCAGCTGGACTCCAGGCCTGAGCTTGGGCAAAGGCCAAAAAGTGTTTGGTGGTCTTGGCCTGTCGAAGGAAAACAATAGGGAATGCTACAAGGACAGTATTGGCAGAATGCAGGTTCGACTTTGCCACGGCTGACAGGTCCTGTGCAACAAGCCGCGGGCAGGTCAAGCTGCAAGCGCGTCGCAACTGCCTTTGAAGCCATGACAAGGGGGGGCTTGTGTTTGGAGAAGCATGCAGACATATGCAGACATATCATGAAGTAACCTAACCTGACCTGACCGTGCCCCGACCCGACAGGACCGGACGATTCATGCATGCACGGGCAGTACATCTAGAGTGATCTACATATCATCCTTTGCATGCAACCTACGTGTGCATCTAGCATCATATGTGTGGACCAAAGATTGTAACAAATTACAACGCTTCTGCATTCTACTTGTGCCGGTGTGTCTGTGGATTGCGCGCAGGCACACATGCATGGTAACCACGAGACTCACGAGACGCGACGGCAGATGTATTGCATTGGTGCCTGCATAACCGTGCACATAAACTACCATCACATTGGATCCCAGTGTATTGTGAGCATTTTGCCAGTGCGTGCATGGGAGAATGTCGGCATGTGCTATGAATGGGTACGTGGCACGACGCGCCATGATGCTTTTGGTGTCTGTGCATGTGCGCGCGCATGCCCGTTTGTGTACGTCATGCGCGTTGTGCCGCGCACGGAATGGACGAACGAACGAGCGAATGAATGCAGCCACAAATGTGCCGAGGCACATATGTAGGCATGTCTGCACAAAGAGAGTATGTTGTGTCATGTTGCGTCATGTCGTACTCTAGTAGTGTACATTATGTTAGAGTAAATACTAGACTCTATTTAAGCTTATTTGTTTCATCTATCTCAAGTTACACCGGGTTAGATCTATTTTGAAGTTGTGTTAAACGATAGTATATGATTTACGATGAATTGTGCACTGCATTTTACAAAACTATATGGTAATGTGCCATGTCACGCGGAAACCGATTGTGCCATGCGACTTTATTTCATTCTGTCCTACATTACGTTACATCGTGTGACGGTAAAAATGTACAATATTATGTTGTTTGGTATTCGCACTGTATAACTTACTATCTATATTGTACTCTTACATGGTAACTACGACTAAGAACGAGTTGTGTCCCTGAATTTGGCAACTCTGACGGGAAGCAGGAGCCTCGTGCTGAGGCGTCGGGGGCTTCGCATGCAGGACGAGCTGACACCTGGAAAGTGCACACGCTGCGAACAAGAAGCCCCATGATCTCGCATTTACACAACATTTCACCTTCCTTTTTGGTGCTCTCTCTCTGTCTAACCACTCGCTCGACAGTAGCCCTATGGAACTCGCTTTGCAGAAGGCCTTCGCTTGCCAGCAGAAGATACGGACCTGAGCTGCTGTCCATGCATGAGCAAGGAAAAAAGCTTGTTTCCGTCCATGCAGTTCGCAGGCCCTTGGAAGGAAGCTCAAAATGACTCAAGAAATCCCTCGAGCGTCACGCAGCTCAAGCTTGCTTTTGGACGAGACCTGGCGATGACTAGTTACCGGCGCTGTCCGGCAGTCTGGAATCCAGGTAGCCGACAGAGTCACAAACGAGGTACTTCTCTTCTCGTGTGCAACGTAACAACGAACGGTATATTCAGGGCTGCAAATACAGGAAATGATCATGCTACCAACATACAGAACATTACATGCTTACAATTCGGAAATGCCGATGAGGTCTCAAGATCTCGCACGATACAACAGTGACTAGGAAACACATCACTTGCGAAACATGCTGCGTGGAAAGTGCCTGAAGACACAGGACTCATTAAGATCCCCAGTCAGTTGCCTTAAGCCCTATACTTAAACTGTGCGAAGCCAAAAACAGCGCTCCGAGCGTCAGCGGCCTTGAGCTCGTGGCCTTAGCTTGCGAGCGGCAATTACCCGCTCTCCTCAGGCACCAAAAAGACGTAAAATCTGAGCATGACGGACATATCTACACAGACAATCAAACACACACACACACACACAAGCACGCACACACACACACACACATTTTCCCGCATTTACACACACATGGACACTTAGACCTATTTGCCTCTCTGTCTTTCTCACTGCTATACACACATACATCCATACATACATGCGCAAATACATACATTCATACATACATACATACATACATACACACATACATTGCAGAATTTCGGCAAAGGGACGAGGTCAGGAGAACAGACAACACGGGTGGGGCGGGGTGTTTTGCAAACTGTCATGCACATGCAACGGCTGTTGTGCAAGACTGAATGTTCCTAATCTTGCTGGCTCAGGGGCCGCACCTTTTTCGCAGGTTCACACTCAAGCGTCCTTGAGTGCTTCCACCACAGTTCTTATCTTCGTCTTCATGGCTCGAACTGTGGCGCCGTGCCCCCTGC